GGGGAAAAAATCAACAATCCATATATAACAGGAAGATGAGTTAAGGCAGCTTTCATCCGTCACTCCCAAACACAACGTCATAGGGCACTGACTCACCTTGACACTAGTGAATCTGAATAGAGAGAGGGGGAAATGTTCACAGTTGTGTGAGAATCAATTAGGTTTGATAACATCTTGGAACAGCTGCAACGACTTCCTTTTAAAATAAGATGCATACTGACGGCTCAGAGTCATCCAGCTTGTAACCCCGCAAGGTACTGTTCTGCCCCTCCATCGGTGTGTGCCATCGCTTGCATAAAACTGAAAGAGGGATTGTGGAGGAAAGGCCTGGAGGGTTTCATGTTTCCATTCTCAGCGTGTGCCAAGGACAGGCCCAGGAGGCGCAGCACAGGGGGCCCCGAGTGGGAAGCCATCTCACGCCAAGCAGGAGGTAGCACTAACCCACCATCACTGGGTAAACAGTCCAAAGACCAGAATAACTGGGAAATGATGACATTCTCAAATAAAGCCGCGCGTCCTGTGTCCAGGAATTTCCCTGGAGGTAGAAAACAAGGGGCCTCCTATTTGGCTGTGAGATTGGCAGGAAAAGAAGAGCACACTTCAGCTCAGTGTGGATAGCTGAGCTCCGACTGGGCAGGGCTGGGCTCGGCTGGGCCCCAGCAGTTTTCCATTTACATTTTTGAGTGCTTCCAATTCCTTCCAAATGAACATTTTCCAAATACCCGCCTGCAGACGGCCCCTCACCCTCAGGACATGCTTCTCTTCCTCAAGGGGCTGCCTGCCACCAGAGAGCTGCCGAGGCCCCTGGTGCCAGAGACCCTGGGGGAGCCTGTCCTGGGGCTTTCTTGGAGTTTTTCAGGATCAGAAGGCTTTAGAGCAGTGGTTCTCGACCTTGACTGCACATGAGAATCACCTGGGAATCTTTTTAAAATCCTGATTGCTGGGCCTCATCCTCTGGAAATTCTTTCTTTGTTATGGGGTGAGGCCACAACATTAGTAACAAAGAAACAGAATTTCTGGAGGATGAGGCCCAGCAATCAGGATTTTAAAAGGATTCCCAGGTGATTCTCATGTGCAGCCAAGGTTGAGAACCACTGCTCTAAAGGAAGAGCTTCTAGCCTAGTCATCTGCAGTCTCATAGCACCAAAGCCAATGTGTGCCTGTTATCCATGGCTATGTTATCTGCTATCTCTGTCGCGAACCACCTCACGATGCCTGAAATAAGGGCAGTTGTTTGCATGCACGTGCACGCAGGTCGGGAGTCTGGGAGAGGCTTGGCAGGGGCAGCTCCTCTGGGGCCCGCGTGGTGCTGGCTGAGGCAGCTCGGCTGGGGCTGGAGAATCGGGGATGGTCCCAGCACAGGGCTGGGGCCTCGGGGCTGGCAGTTAGCTGGGGAGCCCACACCTCTTCTACGTGGCCTCCGTCCCCCCGGCAGGATAACTAAGACTTCTTTACGCGGTGGCGGGATTCCGAGAGGAAAAGGAGAAGCTGCAAGGCCTCTTTAAGGTCTGGGCTCAGGAGCGCCAGATCACCAATCACGTCCTTCACCCTCTATTGCTCAAAGCAAGTCCCAAGGTCAGCTGGATTCAGCGAGAGGCTCCACCTCTTGATGGGAGATCCACACAGTCACGTAGCAAAGGGCACAAACCTAGAGAAGTGGGTCCCTCTTTGCAACTTACCCCATAGGGCTTGTCACAGGGAAGGACGGTCTGAGGTAGTGAAGAGAGACGTAGAACCGAGAGCTGGTGGTGAGAGCTGAGTCTGTTCTCTGCCTCCTGCTGTTGGTGTGGCCTCAGCAAGTCACCTCCTGAGCTTCCTGTAACAAGGTCCTTCATTCTATAATCTAGAGATACGGTGACTATGTTGGAGCGAATAAATGAGATAAATAAAATAAAAACACATTAAGACTGCGGGGTATGATGCAACTGTAACAATTTTGAATCCATATATTGACGCTGTATTATTTTATGTATACCCTTCCTCCTCCTAAAAGGTATTTGAGGCGAATGGTGGAATGCTGAGTGGCTGAGCGAGGGGCACTGTGAGTCCTGAAAAGAGCCCCCTGGTCCAACAGGCTTGGCTTTCCCGCCCAGCCCTGCCCCTCTGGCACGGGGAATCCCTCACCACCTCCCACTCCCGGTGTCTCCATCAGTACAATTACACTTTTGTCAGGGTGATCAGGGTGAAGGGCTTTTTCCCTAGAATCTAGGGGCCTAGATTTTTGTGGGGATTCGCATAAAATACCTGGCACAAGCATCACTAACATTCTTTCCATCACCATTATTGCTCACACATTTAGATTGTGAACCGTGAACAAATCTGAAACTCATAACATGAGCAGTCAGAATTCCTAGAAAAGCACCAGTGTAGTCTGTGCCTGAGCCACTTTTGAAACTTAACGTTATTTTTTAAATGAAACCAAATCTAAAACTTTTCTCTTTTGAAGTTGGGGGCCATCTTTCCTTTTAAAAATCAAAAGCCCTGTTACCTAAGACAGCTTCTGTGCCCGGAGACCCCAGCTGGAGGTGAGAAGTCCCCTCCCAAGGACAAGGGTGGCAGAGCCCTCAGCTCAGGCTGCCGGTGGCCTGGGACTGTCCTCTCTGGGCCTGTGGGGCCAGACAGGAACCCAGTCACCACACTTGGCATCACTTATTCCACCCGAAGGACGATCTTTCTGGCCTCCATATTCCAGCCACCTGCCCACCACCACCCACAGGTGCTGGGATGTTCTATGTCGATATTGAACCCAGGTCTCCTGATGCTGTCTGGCAACTCCGGTCGGGAAAGCCGTGGTGGGGAGTCCTGCCGCTCCCATCACTTGACCTGGGTGTAGCTGCTCTGTTGTCTTTAGTGCAATTTCCTGGTGTGTGGTTGGACTGCAGTAGTCTTCCCAGCTCACACTGTGTTCAAATCCCCACACCTCCTCCGGCCAAGTTCTCTTTTCCCTCTGCCTGGACGAGGCCTGGGCTCGGGACCAGCATCGAAGTCAGCTGGACTCGGCTGCTCACACTAATCAATGTGGACGGCCCTGAGGCCCAGGGTCCTGGGAAAGGGAGAGAGGTCGAGGAGATGACTAATGAAAAGGGCGGAATCATAACAGACTGGCCTTCCTCCCGCCAAGAAGCACCTAATCCTGAGTGGAACTGAGGGGATGGGCTCCTGCGGAAAACACGTGCCAGATGTCAGTGGCTTCTATCTGATCTGCTTCATGAACTTCAGAGCAGTCAGTGGTAAGAGAGCCACGTGGTAGGGGAGGGGCTGCAGGCTTCTCAGGGCAGGGGCTGGGCAAAGGGACCCCAGAGCTACAGGAGTTGGATTCAAATTCTTGCTCTGACACTTACTGACCATGTGACTTTGAACAAGTTCTATTCCTCTTGGCTTCTTCATCTGTAAAATGAGCATCTAACAGATCAGAGGTTCCCAATTGCGTGCCTATGAATCAGCTAGGAGCCCCCATGGGATGGGCATTCAAACTCCTATTGATTGGCATTTAATATAAATAAACACAGTCCAAATGGGTAAGTGAACTCAATCTATAATATTTGGGAACTTTTTCTATCTCATTCTAAAAACACATCCCTACTTTTTCCAAATCTGGGTGGGGCCTTCTCCACTCACAAACTTTCCTCCTAGACTGTTCAGCCAGATTGAGCTTCTCTCATCCAACATCCAGGCTCAGAGGGACACTGTAGGGTATCATCATTGGAAGAAACATGAGATCAGCATTAAGTTACTGGAGGAATGGTGAATTCCAACAAAATTACATAGTATGAGAACCTGGCTCATGTCATCACAAATATATGATTCTCACTGAGATAAGCTGTGACCATGGAATTCCTATTTGAGAAACAGAACATTCCTTTCAGACAATTTAGCCATTCCTTCCTCAGAGAAAGCCTAAACTAAATAACCACCCACAAGAAGGTAATATAAATAAGATAGTAACAGCATTAACTTAATCTGGTCCAGGGCCCTTCTAAACCCACGCCAGTTAGCAATTGTTTTAGACAACATTTTTCAAGAGAAAAGTGAGCCATGCTGATATAACAGAATAGAAGGCAATGCAGCTGGCCACCATGATCATGTAGTGACACTAGATAGGTGGTTGGGGGGTAAGGGGGTGTGTGGAGAGAAACAGCTCCGGGGCCCACCGAGCAGACGATCCACACCAGAGTTAAGAGGTAAGGGGGGCACTTCCCCCAGACTGACCCTCTAGGCTTCTTCCATGACTCACTGGCAATGAGCTGAGGAAGGTGTGAGACAGATATTGACGTTCTGCCTTTGTCAGAATTCTTGCTTTTGGCGAAGAACCCAAATGCTAAGCAATCACAGGACCAGTCTCCACTTGACTAAAGCAGCTCATGTCCCCTCAGGAAGAACACATTTGGGAAGCCCTGAATGTGGGTTAACTCATTCATTAACTTGTTCCACAACCATTTCTTGATTGCCCACTACCTGCCAGTTCTGACCAGGCAGGGGACTTACAGAGAAAAGCTAACGTTGCCCTTGTTCTCAGGAACTCAGAGTCCAGGGATCAGAAGAGATGACAGACTACCCAGTGGTCCTGGAATAAATGTAGACCATCTACATCAGAAGCTGAAAAGTAACCACAGGGTTTTTGAAATTGATTTTTTTAAATTTCTTGAATTAACCAGGGTGACATTGGTTAATAAAATTATATAGGTTTCAGATTATTTTAAAAATCCTATGTAATAAAATCCTAATATACAAATTGTCCCCAGCTGGGAGTTTGACCACCCATGGCCCCTCGCTCTAGATCAGCCTCCCCCATGACTGGGGGCAGGCTGGCCCACCAACCTCCTGCGTGCCCCTCAATCCTCCCCACCCCCACCCCCCATACCAGGCCTCTAGTAAATAAATAAAAGGCTGTTCCTCCCTGTCACCAACCCCTGTCATCAGCTGGCAAAAATAATGAAAAGCAAGATGATTTTGCTTTTATTTAATTGTCAAAATGAAACACAAGTGGGGAAGAAAATTTACCTCCAAAATAGTTTTTCAGAAATCCTGCATTCAAGAAACAAGTTTGTGATTAAGTAGGCCACAGCTCCCTTAGAAGTTGATAGTCCTAAAGAACAAAATGTGTTCCCTTATGTTCTTACCCTAGAAAAATGGGCCTAGAAGCTCAGAGGATGTAGGCAAAGAACTTCAGATAATAAATAGCTAATATGTCCGAGGGACTTGTGTGCCTGTATATGGTAAGTGGGACGATAGGCCCCTTCCCATGCCCCAACTCCCCCTCCCACCCTGTGGGAAATATAGCGAAGGCCATCAGTAAGTGGACTGTGAGACCTTGGGAGCCTGGCCAGCTCCTTAGTCAAGAAAGGTGTCAAAACAATAACACCAGCCACCCCCATCCACAGGCCGGATGGGACTTAGCAGTGGTTCAACTTCATTGGTGGCTGCCAGTGGGGCGGCCACCACCAGTGCCCACGTGCAGCCTAATCCTAATATATAAAAACCCTGGGTCCATCACATCCACAATGACCAGGAGGCTTGACCAACCAGAAGTCAGTCCTACAGTCAGCACTGGGTTGCCGTGGTAACCCAGCACTGACTGCTATGGCTGCAGGCATGGTGACCCAGCACTGACTGCTGAGGGGGCTGCAAGTCAGGCCCAGAGAGAGTCTTGAAGAGAGAAGCAGGGTCTGATCCATAGCCTCTGTGGCAGCTGTTGATCAGCACTTTCCTCTCTCTTTAGTTCTGGGCCTGGTCAGCAGCCGTGCCTCCATTTCTCTCCAGGCCTCCACCAAGGCTACTGATCAGCCCTGCCTTTCTGATCAGGTCCCGTTGATAGACCCAGAGATGCTGCCTGGCATAGAAACCAACCAATCAGAACCAAATCTGGGTCAACTGTGAGGAGCCAATGGCTGCCTAGGAGGCGAAGCTTTTGACACTGACTGGCATAGAAACCGACCAATCAGAACCAAATTGGTCGGCAGAGGAGGGTAGTTGGGGGTGAGATCGGGCCTGCAGGGGAGGGCAGTTGGGGACCATCAGGCTGGCAGGGGAGGGTAGTTGGGGGTGACCAGGCTGGCAGGGGAGGCAGTTGGGGGTGAGATCAGGCCAGCAGAGGAGGGCAACTGGGGGTGAGATAAGGCTGGCAGGGGAGGGCAGTTGGAGGCAATTGGGCTGGCAGGGAAGCAGTTAAGTGTTAATCAGTCTGGCAGGAGAGCGGTTAGGGGGTGATCAAGCTGGCAGGCAGAAGCGGTTAGGGGCAATCAGGCAGGCAGGCAGGCGAGCAGTTAGGAGCCAGCAGTCCTGGATTGTGAGAGGGATATCCAACTGCCAGTTTAGGCCCAATCCCTGTGGATTGGCAGTCAGACATCCCCTGAGGGGTCCCAGATTGGAGAGAGTGCAGGCTGGGCTGAGGGACATCCCCCCCCCCCCCGACCCAGTGAATGAATTTTGTGCACCGGGCCTCTAGTAAACTCATAACTCACGTCTTTCACAGTCCTCTGAGTTGTTTGGAATCCAAGAACATTACGCTGAGGTTTTCTGGAACCTCAGCACTTTGCATAACAGCCTGGTTCTGTTCTAAGCAGTTATATATATTCACTCATTTATTCTCACAGCCACCCTATTAAGTGGGTACTATTAGGAGCCTCATTTTTGCAGCAGAGGAAACAAGCACAGAAAGGTTAGGTGGCATGCCCATGGTCACACAGCTAGTCAGAGGCAGAGCCTTGAATTAAACTGAGCCTGTACAGTGGGCCCTGGTTGCCTGGCTTTCCATTAGGCTGCAAATGGGGGGTGTCTGTGCTTCTTGGTAGCACAACCTAGTGACAGAGCAGAAGCTTGGACCAGACAACGGAGCTTGAATTCTGCTTCTGCCGTTCATTGGTGTGGGATCTTTGGTAAGTTACTTAACTTCTCAAGTCACAGGGTCCTCATTTGTCAAAAGACACTAGCAATCTCTTAATATTGATTTGAGGATATGAGGATTAAGTGAAATAAAAATAATACCCATGTAGAATCCCATGCTTAAGAGAGACCAGTTTCACCTGTGGTGTACATGTCAGACCCACGAGTTTCAATAGTTTGTCCATGTAGTTGCATGCTGTCAAGACACATATGGAAGCAGTGTAGATTCGCACGTGAGTGGGTCTGATTCATCCATTCTTTTTACTGCAGTAAAAACAAAGCAGTTGAATAATTTTCCAGAGCTTCTGCTAAATTCATAACAACTTACTTTGAAATACTAGAAAATGCCGTCATTAATTTTAAGCAAGGAAACTAGCAACCAGTGCCACTACAATTGTAGAGTGATTCAAAGAGCTGTGGATTGTGTAGGATGACTGAACGCTCTCATTCAGAAGTCCCATCCTAGTTCAAACAATGGCTAACCACCATGGAGGTGAGTAAGGGGTCACACTGGACAAATACACAGAAAACTCACATGTAGCACATACAGCAGAAAAACGTTATTACCTAGCATTTTCACAGGACTTTAAAACTGGGAACAACTACATAGAAGTCCTAAAGATTCACCTAATCTAATACCCACCTAATGCTTGAAATGGTTAGATGAGAGCTGAGGATCCATTCACTTCACGATTCCATGGTTCTTTAATAAAGTATATTCTTTACGAACTCATTTCCAGTGCTCTGTCATCCATTCAGCTTGATGTCCAGTCGATATGAAACCAATGCTTTCTGAGACTTTCCAGACAGACTACGGGCACTTAGCTTGTATTCTACACAATTTGGAGTATTGAGATTCCAAGATAATACACAAAATCGGTGTGTGCCTTTTCCTGGAGAGCAGGCAGACAATGTCCATTAGCCCTTCAAGGGGTCTGTATATAGAACAAAAAATACATGTTTGAAGAACCATGTGACTATAAGTACAATGGCCAGAATAAACTGGTGTAGCTCCCTTTGTTGAAATCAGCATAGGATGCTTATGTGAAAAGTAAAATAAGGTCTGAGAGATATGCAAATATGAAACTTCACCAGCCTCTTGCAGACAAAGTTGGAGTTCCCTGCTGAGCTGGTTGCTTGAACAGACGTGCGGCATGCATGTGCCAACAGGAGAGAGCAGTGGTCTCCTGGGTGTTTCCGGTTTCTGTGTTTCTAGCATGAGTATCAATAGCTCACTCTCTATGATTGCTCTTCCCCTCCCGTTAGAGCACATTACTTCATGCTAGCTATAGAGATCTTAAGTACCAGAAGTACAGTAATAAAAATTAGAAAACATTTGGTGTTAGACACACATGGGATCAAATTCATAACTATTATCTAGATCCTTGGACAAGTCACTTAATCTCTCTGAACTCCAGCTTCCTCACCTGACAAGTACAGGTATTAATGCCAACCACACAGGGTGCTCTGAGGACTAACAAAATAATAATGTCCAGAACATTCTTAAAGCATTGCCAAGGATGCAGTAGACTCAGTAAATGCTGAAATGAAGCTAGGAAAGAAATGTTCTTATCTTATTGAAAACCACCGAGAGCAGATTAAGACTTAAAAAGATTATTTCACAACAACTACTAGGAATTCTTCAAGTCTGAGGGGAAAGGTTTCAACAGATACCACAGTCTCATGGGTGATACAGATATCTGTTCATTTAGTAAGTATTTGCTGAGCACCACTGCTTGCCAGAGACACGGTGATGAATAGGCAAACGTTAATCTAATAACCGCATAATAAATGTAAGAATGAAATTGTGACGAGTGTGCAAAGGGAAGATTACTGACCACCACTGAGATTAATAATAGGGAGGTGTCGCAGAGGCATGAAGGGCGGGATACTGGGCTTGAGATCTGAAGGGTGAATGAGTGGGTTGCAATGAGGTCAGGGAGAATGGAGGGGTGGGGGGGGGGGGGATTCCAAACCAATGATTTCAGTGGTGAAGAAGAGGAGAGATGTAGGAGGAGATATAAGGCAATAGCAAGAGAGGAGCAGTCAGATTAGGGTGTTATCATTATTATTATTGGAAGTTTTGAATGAAGTACTAAAGCAGTGGATAGAACTTTCCAAACATGGTGGGAAATCATCTAAGGAGGAGCTCTGAAACCAGTTGCATATCTTTTTTTAACCCTCCACCCGTTCTGAGAATAGAAGCTGGTCAGGGGTTATTGGAGGCAAGGAGAGGGATTTTGGAGAGAGCTGTTGGTATGCTGTGAGCCCTATTCCATTCCCCGAGGGGGAAGCATGGGGGCTTTGTCCTCCCCTCAAACTAGGGAGAGGAGCTTTCCCAGGGCAACTCGGAAAGCTTCATCTGAAGCCCCCAGTGTTCGGGAAATAGTGAGGACTGGATCTTTGCAGCAAAGTGGGGGCCACTGCTCTGATGAAACCGCAAATGCAGGGAGTGCGCTGTGCTCAGCAGAAGGCCCTGAGAATCCCATTTGTTTACTTTTGCTTTTGTTGGCCTTGCTTGGAGGAAAACAAAAAGATATTACTCCAACTGGTATCAAATGGATTACTACCTATTTTTTTTCCAGGAGTTTTATAGATTCAGACCTTACATTTAAGTCTTTAACCCATTTTGAGTTTATTTTTGTTTACGATGTAAGAGAGTGGTCCAGTCCAGTTTGTGGTATTTTGGGTTTGTTTTTGGTTTTTGGTTTTTGTTGTGTGTTTTTGTTTTGTTTTGTTTTTTTGGCGTATATCTGTGCAATTTTTCCAACACCATTTTTTGAAAAGACTGTCTTTACTCCATTGAATATTCTTGCCTCATTCATCATAGATTAATTGGCCATATAAGTGACCAGCCAGTACCATGCTGTTTTGATTATTATAGCTTTGTGGTATAGTTTGAAATTAGAGAGTAGGATACCTTCAACTTTGTTCTTCTATGCTAAGTAAAATAAGTCAAGCAGAGAAAGGCAAATACCGTACTATTTTACTTTTATGTGAAATCTAAAACAAAACAAAACAAAAACAGACATAGAAACAGAGATCAAAGGGAAGGGTACCAGAAGGGAGGGGGTGAGGGTATAGGTGAAAAAAGTGAAGGGAAATATAGCCAATAATATTGTGATAACTTTGAGCAATGACAGATAATTACTAAAATTAATGGGGTAACTGTAAGGCATAAAAATGTCGAATCACTATATTGTACACCTGAAACTAATATAATATAACATTGTATACCAACTATACTTAAATTATATATATATATATATATATATATATATATATATATATATATATATATATATATATATACTGAGAGGCAGAGCCCAAAAGCCCACACCAATCCAAAGCTTTGGTATTAAACCATCTGGCTCCAGGAGGAAGATGAAGGCACCACTAACCCCATCTGAGTAAAGGACCCTTACTAGCCAATCTAGTCTCAGGTGAGCACACCATTCTCCCAATCCTCTCAGCCCTTCCCACAAGAACCAGAAAAATGCAGAAAATATAGAGTTTTATCAATACCATTAAAAGCCATCTTGTATAGTGCCTGCTGTCTGAAACTCATAAGGTTAAAACTGCAGCAAAGCAGACAGTCACCCATGACAATGAGATATGACCATGATGGTGCCGATAGACATATTAGAGATTATTTTAAGTTTGATTTTTTTTATTTGTTTTTGGTATTGCTGTTGTGTGTGTGTGTGTGTGTGTGTGTGTGTGTGTGTGTGTGTGTGTGTTTGGTTATTTTTAGAACAGCTGTCAGGGAAGGGATCTTGTTTGTTAACACAGTTCATTTCTACACAGCAACAAAGTCAAAGGGAATTATAATGGCAGGAGACAGGGAATACAGCACTGGAGAGAAGACCCAAAAGTTACTCTTGCTTTTGTAAAAAAATTCTTATTTGAAGATACTTGCCACTAATGTCCCTGGAAACAAATATATTCATCTTAAGATAGCTCATAGATGGCCTCTTTAATGTGATTATCATGATATAGCATTAATGTAGATTTACCATCTGCCAAGCTTTGTTAAACTTTGGGGTATGGTTCCTATAAGAAATTTTTGTGTTAGGGAAAGAAAGATGACCCTTCTGTCTCCTGCCTTCTTACCCAGCACCATTTTTGTTTTATGACACGCTGTGACATTTTGGTGCTCAGGGAGGTCCTACCTTCAAAGACAAACTCTCCTGGTTATTCTTCAAAGCAGGCCATTGTCACCTGGGATGGCCCCTGAGGAACAAGAGCTCCCTGAATCCATGTACCAGACCCACCTTTGTAGCCACAACTGGAGGGTTGTTGGTTAGCAGCTGCACTGTGTTCTGGTACAGACTGAATATATACTTGTACCTACACGTGTTCCCAAAGGCCAAATTTGGTGCCAGGTTTTATTTGCAGGTCACTATAATTTGTAATGCATCCCTGATTCTATGAAGGTTTTCTTTAAAGTTGTTAATTTAAAAAAGAAACTATTTTTAAAAATTATTTTGTATCAGAACCAGGATTCAAACCCAGATCTGTCTGATTTTATGGTCAATGCTCTTAAACATGAGACCAAAAACATGAGCTTTTACAGTCAGAGTCCCAAACAATTTTCCCATTTGCTTCATTGTGAGCAAAAGTTTTCCCCAACTGCCCTTCATTATCCCCCCCCCACACACACACACAGAAATGCCACTCCACCAACAGTCCTCTGACTCCCCAGCCAGGCAGATAATTCAATGCCTCATCACGATGCTCAGAGCCCAGACTTGCTTTCTTCCGCCTTCTGTTTCCTGTCTCTTTTATGGGTGCTTCTCCCTTTATCTAGTCCTTAAGTGTGTTGGGTTCCTGGAATTTTATCTTTGACCCACCCTACATGTGTTCCTCCCTTCTCATGGCTCCCACTCACATGTCTTTGCTGATACCTCCCAGATCTGTGTCTCCAGGCAAAACCTCTCTCCTGAGCTTTGAGTTTTGCATCTTCAGTTTCTTTATCTCCAGTGGTTGTCTCAGTTTATTCACTGGATTGTGAGGTATTCAAAGATGAGCACCATGCCTTATTTGCCATCAAGACTTGCTCTGCAGGAAGCATTTCATATATTTTCTAATATAATACATGAATAAGGAAGTGGATTCAATTAATGTCTGTTGAATGAATAACAAATTAAGGTGAGAAGAAAAGAAAGACCTTCAAAAGGAGTAGCCTTTGACAAGGTAGGCTTTGTCTTCTAGCCCAGAATAGAATGTACAGGAGAATAACCTAAGGAACGCTGTGTTCCATAAGATAAAACAGATGTGCTAGAAATTGGCATGGTCAAACACATTTGACAAATATTGGATTTTAAAAACTTAAGCAGAATTTTTGATCCTCTAGTTCATGTACAGTTCAAATGTCAAAAAGAATATACTTTTCAGCAATTGTTAAGTGTATTTGAGTACATTTCTACTTGGGTTTATTTGCACCAGTTCTCCCGCAGATTGAGATTCTGTGGATAATCAATTGGGGGAAATGATGTTCTAGAACATCAGATTTTTGACTGATCACTACTTATAAGAAAATAACTTAAAAAACAACTTCAAACCGAACCTAGTGGCAGTATTCAGGAACTTCTGACCCCTTCTAAGAACAACTCAGTAGGTCTATGTAGGCCTCTTGGGCACAAAATCGACTTTGGGGTTGGCCTGGTGTGGACCACACCCTGGAGGGTGGGGGGAAGACGTGGCTATGCTTTGGGGTTACACAGGTCCTCTATCAATCAGGCCACCACAGTTAGCCCGTTTGCTATGTTGAACACCGCTTGTTTTCCTGCCTCCCCATGCAGAGGGACATTGCGGTCATGAAGCCCACACACACTGGCTCTCAACTGCAACTTCTCTCTGGGGCCTTGGGGTGGGGCTGCAGGAAATGCTGAGTGACATCACCTCCTCCTAAGCCAAGAAGCCTCCTCAA